TTTTTAGTTATGTTTTTAAAATTTTTATTTTTTTTTTATTTATATTTTTTTTTTGTTTTAATTTTTTTTTTGAACCACCCAGTCCCCCATTGGGGGGAGATGGGTGGGGGAGAAATTTAATAAATAAAGACTTAATTTCAAGCATGGATATTAGTTACAGAATCTATTTTATATAAAGTAGGACACCTCATTGTAGTTGTATTTCCAGACAATAGGTTTTGTTGTTCTTATATATAAAATAAAGTATTTCATTTATTTAAAAAAATGACAGAATATGCCAAATCTCATAGGCTGGAATGGAGCTCATTCTCCTATTAGCCCATCCTTTTCTTAGAACAGGCTTTTCCTTTGTCTTCTACACTCTTCCGTACCTCCTCCATCTACTCCTGTCCACAAATGGGACACAACATGGTGCAAGGGACTGTAGCAGGAAAGGGGGAAAATCAGTAAAATTGAATAAGTTGTTTTCCATTGATAAAGGTTCCTACTCTTGAGAGTAACAGTTTCTCATTGCTCAGACCTCTTGACTCTAGGAGAGCATGACCAATTCAGCAGTAATAGAAACTTCTATAATTGCACAACGTGATATTCATCAGCTGGATTCCACTCCAAAGCTTAAGCAATAGACACCTTCCCCCCAAATTCCTTCCAGGTCTGAGTGTTGTGGTTGAAGTGCTCTGTATGCCTAGCTCAGAGCTGACACAACCTAGAACAAGTTTGTGCAGGCAAGATAGTGTTGTCTACATATATATAATCAAACTGCATCTTTGAATAATAAATTACAATAGTTCAAAATGTTGGCTCATAGTAGGCATGCATTATGAAGTCATACCTCTGAGAGCCAGTTTGGTGTTGTGGCTAAGCTGCTGGCCTAGAAACCAGAGGACTGTGAGTTCTAGGCCTCCCTTAGGCATGAAAGCCGGGCAGGTGACTTTGGGCCAGTCACTCTCTCTCGGCCCAACCCACCTCACAGGTTTGTTGTTGGGAAAATAGAAGGCAGGAGTATTAGGTATGTTTGCTACCTTGAGTTATATATAAAAAAGGCAGGATAAAAATTTAATAATCATAAACGAGTTTACAATTTAAAATTATAACATACCTGGCTGCAGCCTCCTTTTTCCCATTTTCTAGTGTTCTCCAGTGAATATGATCTCCAAAACCTTGGAAGAAAAGACTGAATATATACTGTCTGATTTAAAATATTCATTACAGTATGTAAAAATATCCATCATGTATAATGAAATAGATCACTTAGATTGGTAAGCACAAATTGCATTCCTCCGAAAGTCCTCAGTGACTCTGTGAAATCTTATGAACTTAGTCTGGAGTGAGCAATTTTACATTTTCACTGTGAATTGCATTACATCCATTCCTTTGGAACTGGGCTACTGAAATTCCACAGAAAATCATACTGCCTCAACACTGCTCTGTAGGTATATTATATTATAAAAATCACATAATTTTTGACATTAAAAGAGAGCTTGTTTTTAAAAGCCCCTTATAACAAAAAGTTGTTTACTGGACCCTATGCACATTAAAAAAACAAACAAACCTATTTTAGTACGACCAGGCTTACATCAGGTATATTTCTATAGCATTACAGTTTCAATGCATCTTACTATTTTCAGATATTTGAAACTGAGTGAATCATTTTATGATATAGCGCACTTTCTATACATTTGTAGAAAAGTATTTATAAACACTAGGGCTTCCAACATAGGCTTTATTGGAGCTCAGTACTTTGAAAACAAGCCTATCCATTTTTACAATGGCCAGCTACAATCACACTCAGTTTTTTGGCTCCTTATACCAAAAATTCCATAATACCCCAAAGCATAATTTAAAAACAGCTTAAAGATATTCTAATCATTACTTTTCATGTCTTGCTTATAGAGTAAAAACATTTATTCTTTGATAGATAATTGCAGAATAACTAAAGCTATACAAAGAACAAAACTTCCCTTACTTAGAATAAGCAATATTATGTTACTTTCTTTGGGAAGGAAAATATAAAAGTATCACATTCATGCTTGAATACAGAAACTGTGTAAATATGTTGTTGACGAGGATAGTGGTGCATTAGTTTCTATTCTACAAAGCAAGTAAACCTATTCTGAAATGAAAGTCAAATAGAAAAAAACAATTCTGAGAAATCATAATCAAGGAGCAGGAAAACCAAAGTAGTAATTTTTTTAAATAGTTCAGGTACTTCAATCTATACTCAGCAGACAGCTGAAATCCTAAGGAGTAATTTGTCAGCAAATGTTAGTAATTGATGGGGTAGTTGTAGAAACTCAGTCATTTCATCTCTCTTTCCTTGCTTAAAATTTGAAAAAGTTAACTTGCACATAAGTGGCACTTCAAGGTGTGGGGGTGTGGCCATTAGGGGCCAGTTATTCCTGCTCTGTATTTTAAATAAGAATCATGTCTGCTCACCTCATTTTGTTCATCCTCTAAATAGCACTGATACAATTGCAGACAAAGCAGGACATGATCAAGGAAATCCAGATTAAATTGGATAAACTGATAAATTAGAATACCTGCCATATTACCTACCTTATTATCTTTAACTAGTAATACATCTAACTGACTTTAAGAGATAATTTAGTAGAGAAAGGTTAAGTAGCTACATGCAAAATTGTGCACTAGACTACATTTTAGGATAGGGTTTTTTTTTTCAGAATAAGATTAAAGACTGTTGACCTGAACTTTGGAAACATAAACATTTGGCAAATCCCCGAACTGTTGAATATATTCTTACAAATCATTCAACGACCAACTCACGGTCTGCAGCAAATTTGCTCTCGATACTTCGTGGGACCGAAACTTAAACGATAAGAATTGCACGACGAACCCAGACCTTAAAAAACGTTTTGCAGTTCTTCAGACCCTCGGCGAAGACACTTTTGGTAGTTCGGTTGTTCCCCCCCAAAGCAGAATCACAAAAACAGAACAGGAAAAATGGTTTCTAACCGTTTCCAAGCGCTTCTCCAGCCGCAACTGCAACGAACCACTGGCAAAGGGAAGGGAGGAGGAGAGGCGACAGCGCAGCGAGCTGAGTCTTCATGGTGCAGCGCGGCTCTTCTCCGGGGCTGACACTCCGGCCAGCCGACCCGCCGCCCTCCTCACCTGATCAGTCCAAGCCAACCCTTTCGCGAAAAAGGAAGTGATGCTATGGGACGGAGGTGGGAGGGATTTATTCAATCTGGGTCCGGGGTAAATTTAAAGGGAAAAAATGCAAAAAGAGAGAGTGCTCCAGCTCTCTGGAGGAAGAGATCGCTTCAGATTCGACCTGCCGCTGTTTCTCAAGTATTCTTTTTTTTTTTTGAAATCGGAAATATTTATTTGTTCCTTCGAATGTGGTCCAAACTCGGGTCAAGGCCTCAAGAAGGGCAGCAATGAGATTAAGATGTTACGCGAAACGGTCGGGGACTAGTTAATTTGAAGCGCTATCTAACACGCGTCGCATTAGGTTCGGTGGGGTTTTCGTCCCTACTTGCCTAGTACGTGGGTAGGGCGATGAACGGGAGGAGGAGATGCTGTGCAGCCAGTTTCAGAAGCTAAGCTTGACATTTTATTCGTATCCACGAAAGAGTCATAGAATGCAGAGCATGGAAAGGAACGATCCAAAGAACGGCGGTCCCGCTTCCACGGAAGCAGTTTCTTCTCTGCTCCCTAGGGAACAAAGAGCTCACGCACCTTAAAAACAACAAAGCGACCGACTCCCGTTTGTCATCTCTCAGGAAAACCACAACTCCCGGCATCCATTGCTGTAAAAGTTCAGTATTTTCTTCCCCTTTTTCCACGGGTCGCGCATTGCACAACAGCTTTACATTTGCCCGAAACGGGGGCAATGGAAGGGTGTGGTTGCCGGCGCCCATCTTATACACCCGACTCACGTTGTCCGCCAATCGGATTTGAGGGGCGGGGCGATGGTCCCGTGGTTCCAGGCCTCCTTGGTCCAGGCCCCTCTCTCCCCCTCACCTGTCCGCCATCTTGTTGTTGCCGCGTGTTGCTTTTGGAAGGTTCGTCGGACTGAGGTGAAAACTTCCTGCTTGACCCTCTGTTGCTCTTGCGCCCCTCATGACCCCGCAAGTCGAACTGGTGATTCCTTGGCCGACGCGCGGAGCGCCATGGACGGTGGGAGGGGCTGCTGGTGGGCCGAGGAGCGAGGGGGAGGAGAGTGGGCCTGGCAACTAGTCGCCTCCGGGAAGCCCGGGTTGCCTTGGTACGCTTTGGTTGTCTTATTTCACGTTCCAGGACCCTTTGCCTGACCACTCGTGCTTTCCCTTTGTCAGGGTTGGCTTGTGTGCTTCCGGTCGTGCGAATGCGCCTTTCTGCCACCAACCCAGGCTAGCGAGGTGTCTCGTGGACCTTTCGCAAGCTCCACCTCTTCTCCCTAAAGCACAACAGTGATGATTCTTCTATCCCTAAGTGAATAGATACCCTTTCCGGCCCAGGATTTCATCTTGCTGCGAAGTCGCACCTCATTCTCCTTCCTTGGAGAAGAAATTTCCCCTGGATTCCCCCCAACGCTTCCCTCAGGATTGAATGCTTCCCTCCAGCAGCTTAACACCATTAGCTTCCCGCGTTGGGTGGGGAGAGGTGGTTTCATCAGGCCCCCTTTCCCGCTTTGGGCTCTGGAATTCTTAGTTATGCAGCTTTTTCACCCGCTGTAGATTCTATCACGTATCTCTAGTTTTCTCCTAATCGCTACCCGTACTTTTAATTTAGCACAACTTGGTCTTTGCTGTCTTTTCTTCAGAGTGTTGATTTCTTTGTACTAAAGTCTGTATATTGTGAAACTCTTTTTGTTTTTTGTTTTTACTTTTTGCAAAGTGACATCCTGCTGGTGGTAATAGAAAAAAAGGTCGATTAGGTGTAGCACTATGAAATAAGGTATATTACTTTTAATTATCATTGTGAATAATATCAGTCCTCCATGCTGTGACTAGGATGATTAGCCATTATATCAGCAGTAAGATTTCTCTAAAATCCCAGATTCAGCAGAGAGGATCTTGGCCTTAATATTTTCTTCCTGCAAAATAGACATCTATTAGGTTTTCCTCCCCCAGGTAGTACTTTCTGGGCTTGTTTCACTTACTTTTGATTACAGATGTGCTCCTGGTTTTATTCTTAATGATTAAAATAAAGACTGTTCAAATATAGTACATGTTTCTTTTCCATAACATAAGCAAATTTGTATTTTCAGGATTGAATATGTGGTGGGATCACTGACAAAAGAATTGAGCTTACCTATTTCTGAGGACATCTTTCTCTCTCACCCACCTGGAATCAGGGATTAAGTTGTAGGGCCCTTTTCTGCTTCCCCTTCTAATATACCGTCATTTTCAATTTACAGATATTTCAGTTCTGCAAAGATTTAAGTCAATTATTAACTTAGAATTCTGTCTAGTTCTGGTGGAATATGACTTTTTTAATACTATAATGGGGAAAAAATGCACCCTAGAGTTTAACTTTTCCTGAAGCATTCATACACTCTGCTAGGCACAGAATTGAATGTTTAGCATTAAAGGGCAAACAGATGAAACTGCTAATTGTTATATTTGAGCTGATGCTTATGTGCTGAAATTGGTTATATTTAAGCCCCTGGCCTGTTGGGACAATACTGGGAAATAACATAAGTCCAGATGAATGTAAATGTATAACTAGATGAGATGAGTTGCTGGCTAAGAGTTTGCACAGATGTACCATGAAAACAGATAGCAACAGATGCCTTATATATAACATAGGGAAGGTTAATAGGTATATATTTTATTATTCAGTATATTTTATTTTTATAATGTATACCTTTCCATAAATAATAACACATTAAATATAAAGAGTTAACAGTTTGTAAAAACAGTTAAAACTGTGGAGGAAGGTCTTGACTTCTTTTATAAAAGTGGAAAGGGGGAGGGCTCAGTGCTCTTCCTAAAAGAGTGCATTCCATAGCTTGGGAGCTATATGGGAGAAAGCACCCTGATCTCCATTGTTGATGTTAATATTTGTCCATGCTTATATCAGATAAACACTCCTTCACATAATCAAAAGGAAAATGCTCACACTGGCATTCTTGTGATATACTTACTCATACATAAACATGGTTTATATACAAAAAATATTAACTGACTGTGTTTGATGGGATTTCTGTATTCTTGTAGGATTGCAGTTTTATGCACACTTCCTCATACCCATCGTAATTGTGTTAGAATTCTGCTGCAAAGTGAGTCTATATGATGGACTGAGAATTATATATATTCACATTTCCTAGCTATGAAAGGTAGCCTCATATAGCTGTGGAGAAATGACTATTTCTTATGAGATTTGTGCAATAGGGGGTTATGAGCCTTAAAATGCTGTTCTAAAATTCATAGTTAAAAGATAAAATACCAATGTAACTAACTTGCATTTACATACACTTTGCCATACTCTGATCACATGCTCTTTTACTTCTTTAATATTGTAGCATGACTAAGGAATGATATATAATTATATGGACCTGTGTGGATAGAGATGGACTTAATTCTCATTAACTTTCATTTTTATGTGATATATTTTCTACTGCAGTGAGGAAGAGGCAAAACTTTTCTTTTCCTACAGATAATAAAATTGCATAGCTTACATATTTATCCCTCTCCCTGGTGCCTTTATTTTCTTCTGTATCTGAGAATTGGTGCTGCTCACTGTTGTAGGGAAAAGAAATGTTGATATTGAGCGCAATGTGTTGAGGCAAAACCGGTTATAATTAGGAGTGAAGGTGTGGAATACAACTCCCTTTTCTCTTTCCTAACTAAAGACAGCCATGTTTCAATTATAGTTTCCCCCTCCAAACAAACTGGGTTCAGGAATAAGTATGGATTTGTTTTTGGTAAGTTGCTGATGTTTTATGATATTAAAACAGATAAACTTGGTATTTTGAAAGACAGTAAATTATTTTAATTCTGGATTTGTTGTAAGCCTAGCTAGTATATTTATTTTTCAGATAAAGCAAGATGAATCAAGAAAAACTGGCTAAACTTCAGGCTCAGGTCCGAATAGGTGGAAAGGTATGATAGTGAACAAAGGAATATTCTATAATTACTGGATACATTTGTGTAGGTAGATATACATATGGGAGCTAAATGTTGATATAATAGAGGCTTGTTGCACATTTCCGCCCAGAGTCCCCCATTGTGGGGAGATGGGCAGGGACAAATTAAATAAATAAATAAAAATAAAATGAATTTTTATTTTCCATAGGCTGTTGTCCATTCTGATGCATTCAGCAGTTATAGTCACAGTAATCCGGACTTCCTTTAAAAAAAAAAAGTGCAAGCTGCTGTTGCATGTTATTATCTAAAAGCAGAACTATTTTCTCACTGAAAGATCTAGTACTATATATTAAAATAACCAAATCAATAGGCCTTATGTTGCCCAAGCATCCATTAGTGGCAGTTAACTGTCACATGAGATAGAAAAGAGATTGCATATCCTCTTACTTAATGGAACAGCAACAGAAACAGAGTTTGCCTTTATAAGTAGAACCACCTAGAGATATGAGGACTGCACACGGACCACACATACACACATTTAACATATGATCGTGGACTGTAATAATTGGGATACTTTGCAAAAACTGGGATAAATTGGAATTTTCAACTGAGTTAGATAAAAATCTTTTGAAATAGGCTCCTGCCTACAAAATCTCATGCTGAAAGGCATCTTATTGTAATGTGTAACTCCCTTTTGTTTAAAAAATGTTTATAAACAACTTTTTAAATCAGTTAATATGAAACATTTCATTTGGAAACAATTCATGTATGTGTATTTTTTGTGTGTCTCAGGGTACCGCTCGTAGAAAGAAGAAGGTAGTCCACAGAACAGCAACAGCTGATGATAAAAAACTTCAGAGTTCACTCAAAAAATTGGCAGTAAACAATATTGCTGGCATTGAAGAGGTACATAAGTATTAATATTTTATGTTATATTTGGATGCTTTCTACTTTTCATAATCTTCATAATTATAATGCTTCTATAATCACATAGATTATGAAATAAAATGGACAGGAAGTCTGTAGCCTGATAAAGTTGTTGACAGATTCATTTCTGACATGCAACATTGTTTTAAATCTGTCTGGGAGAGGGAAACTGTATGAGAGGAAAACCCTACTCTAAAGTTTGATGGGTTTCATAAGTTAAGTCTCTGAATGCCTGAAAACATAGGCCCCTTGGTTCTAGCTTTCCTATGTGAAATGAGCACCCTTAAAATGGTTGGTGCTTTAGTCAACCTATCAACAATACAAGGTAAGCAGTTGCTTATAATTTATATTAGGTAAAGTAAAGCAGTTGCTGTAACTATGAATCAGCTCTGCAGTTGTAATATTAGTCTGCTTTACGTTCATGCTGCTTGTTAAGATGTGCTAGAGAAACGTAATGAATGATACACTTTGACATGGTGTTCAGTATTTTGATTAGACAAAAAGTAGGCACTGAACATTTGAAAAATCTTGGGATACATCCAGATAATAATGCTTATACTGATTTTAAAATTGATTGAAAAGTAATCCTTTATTTTGAAAACATTGAGAATTACAATTTTGCAGATAGTTTTTATTTTTCTGAAAGAGCTGGGCATCAATAACATCTAAGATTTTTTTTACAGTAGAATCAAAAGAAAAAATACAATTACAATAAAACAATTTTTTGAAAAAAATGGATTTGTATTAATTTGTAAGCCTTTGAGGTGAGTTGTCCATATTTATTTTTGTATTGCTCAAAATAAAGGGATCAACATGCTAAGAATGGAAGTTTCTGTCACCTGAAAGTTATACCTTCCTTAGGTGTTAATCTGAATGTTGATTGCTTTACAAAATCTTATGCTAAAAGTGTATTAGATTTTATATATATAGGCAGTATATAAATTTGTTTTAAGCCTAAATAAATGTATCTATGATTACCTTTTCTTATGGATATTTATTATTATAGAGTAAATGATACTGTTTGTATAATAATTTGTTATATTGTTGGTGTATTACTCAATATGCATAAATTTTAATAAATCTATATTTAAAACAGGTGAATATGATAAAAGATGATGGAACAGTTATTCATTTCAACAATCCAAAAGTCCAGGCTTCACTCTCTGCAAATACTTTTGCAATTACTGGTCATGCTGAAGCCAAACCAATCACGGAAATGTTACCTGGCATTTTAAGCCAACTGGGTGCTGATAGTTTAACAAGTCTTAGAAAGTTAGCTGAGCAGTTCCCAAGACAAGGTAAGTAGTGTATCTACTGGAGAGGACTGATAGGGCTAGGTTTGCCTTAAATGGGAATCAGGTTGTGTTCTGTAGAGTTATAGTACTCTTAAACTGAACTTAAAACCAACAGCATTATATGTTCATGAACACCTAGTAATACCTTCATGAAAGTCTGCAAAGGATAATTTTTAAAAACTTACTTGAATTATGCTCATTAATTTTAATTGCAAGGTTGGGCTTTTTGCTCTAAAAACAAAATGCATGGAAGAGGGAAGCAAGAATGAACTTAGATCCTCCTCCTACAGCCCATCCAAAAGCTACTTCAAAGGTTGGCAGAGAGGATCCTTAACAGCTCCATTCAGTGAAGCAAAACAGGCTACAAGTCTACATTTCGAAAATTTAAAATGTTTATATGGGCACATTTAGCAAGCTAGTGAATTTACAGCAACTTTATAATCTGCATAATTAACTGTATGAATGTGAATTATGTGAATTCTTCAAATAAATTAACATATTTTTATTTTCTAGTGTTGGATAGCAAAGTACCAAAATCAGAAGATATTGATGAGGAAGATGATGATGTTCCTGGTAGGATTGTTTGGATTAATTTGAAAATAATTTACCTTTTAGTGCATGACCCTTTGAATAGGTACAGGATAATTCTGGCCTTTAATTAGAAGATCATTCCAAAAATAGAAATATTAAAGTATTTCATCAGTATGACACAGAATGTAAGACAGAGTACATAACTATGACAGTGAGTCCATTTGAGGTAGTCTATAAGTTTGATTTAATAAATAAAAGGTACTTATTAGAAACAAGCATAGGATTTTGCTACATATTATTTATGAAATATGGATATATATTATTGGCTTTATAACAGAATTGAGTCTAGGAACTTTTGTATTATTTAATGGCTGGATGTAGGAACAATTAGACATTGTTTAATGTACAAGCAAGTGCTACATGATAATAGTCTGAAGAAGTAAAATATGTTTTGTAAGCACTTTAAGTTTTGAGGTTAAAACAAACCCAATTTTATTCATTATGTTTTAGTCTTCTAAATATTGCATTTTTAATAACAATGTTTTTGACTCTATCATATATTTCTGTCTTTTCCAGATCTCGTAGAGAACTTTGATGAAGCATCAAAAAATGAAGCTAATTAATTCATTAATAGTTCTGGAAGTTGACATGGACTAGATTTAAGAAATCGGCTGTGTGGTTCCAAAGTTTTACAAAAACAGTGAACATTACCCGTTTAATAGTTCAATAATATAAAATATTTTGTATTTTAATTATGCTGTTTGTTCAGCATTTCCTGTCAGTTGATTTTTGCATTTTGCACTTACTCCAGGATCTACCTTTTCAGTTAAAAAGAAAAAAATAAGAAATTTTCAGTGCAGATTAAGGTGTGTGCGTGTGTGTATGTGTGTGAATGTATGTATGTCACTTTATGTGCAGTTGAGGAAATTGGAGAGCAGATCTATTTGACTTTCCCTTCTCCCTCTAAAGTAGAAATAAAATAAATCTTTACCTTGGTTAAAGTAACCTTTCTTATTGCAACCAGACAGTTCTCATAAAATAATGAAAAAATAATGAATTCTGGATACTGCTTATTAATTACCATTTGGTTTTAATTTTCTGTGTTAACTATTATATTTGCAAACGTACTTTACCATATTGATGGTGTATGTGTGTAGTTTCTCATCAGCCTCCTTTTGGTTTTAAATTGTACCAAAGATAGGATATCAGTATGCATGTTTATCGCAACTTTTAAAAATATTACATGTAAGAGCTTCTCTTTCACTTGTAAAAGCTCTTCTCACATTCACCTTAATAATCAAGTTGGGTTGCATTTACATGCTATCAGATACTCTACTTTGTCTTCAGTAAGGCACCCTTTTTCTAGGTTGAGCCAAATATCAGTGCTGCATTTCTGATATAATTTCTCTTGTCCTCTACAAGAAACTTGGTGATATTCATGTTTACTGAGATAAAGATTGGAGGCTACATTCTACAGCGTTACATCCATTGCCTTGTGTTTTTCCTTGGTACAATTAGATGCCTTTCAGCTAGTCCCTCTTCAAGATGCTGTGTGCTGTTTGATCTCTGTATCTCAGCTAGGCAGTTTTTTTTTTAACCTGGGTGTCTTTTCCAGTGGTAGTATTTTGCTTTGATAAGAGGTTAGCACTCTTCTGTTCATATTTTCAATTAGGAATTAGTGCATTGTCATGCACAGGTAGATTTTGTTAAAAAACATAATAGTCCTCTATTATAATAATCTTGCTCCTAAGAGCAGGTAAGCTTCTCTCTTATTTCTGGACACTAAAATCTGGAAATGTAATTTGGAATCCATAAAATTCATAAGAGCTAAATGTATTTCCATTAGCATTTCACAAAAAGGTCTAACCCATTAATTTTGAAGGTAACCTTCCTTACCTTTATCTGCATTCTATTATGGGTTGTTGATGTATTGCGGCCACGTCTGTAAACATAAGCCCTAATAACAGATAATAGTGGCAGTAAATGCTCTGTGAAACTCTTCAAACAAAGGTGCTTGATACAATCCTTTAAGTTGAAGCTCTTGGTGGTTCTTCAAAGGAACTTGATGTATTTGCAATGAAGCATCATTGTAAACCTTGCTAAGGCCAATCAGAGCTTGGAAAAGCCTTTTTTTTCCACAGCTTATTTTGGTATACTTCTTAGATATATCTGCTTTTTCTGTTGATATATGCACCCAGCAATTATATTTTGGCGCATTCAGCATTCTAATAACATCAGGCTGACTTCCCAAAACAGATTTTGTAATGTCATCTGGACTGCTCACTTGATTTTATAGATTTTCTTGTTCTATTTTATATAATACATGGATCTTAATAAAATAATTCGAAGGAGGTGATGTTCCCTCATGTGTGTTAACTCTTCAAAACAGCAGAACAAAATACGGATGCACAACCTGTTTAATTAGTATGTTTACTGTGCCTCGTTTTTGAAAATGTATTCTCTTACTGTACACATGCAGTTGATAAATATACTTTTTACATTGCTTTTTCCCTAAGAAAACATCTAGAAACCTCTGCAGAGAACTTTTACTGATTAATGTAACGGTCATTTAAAAGTTCATAGCAATGAAGTTAATCATGTTTGGAAGAGAATGTAAACTCTTTATTGTAATTTGAAAGAACTGTTGATCACTTAATGCTTTCTTTTCCTGAGGTATTATAACTTACAGAAAATCATTAAAATGATCATAACTGAAGATATAGACCATTTAAGATTTTGATGATATTGCCCAAACTTCATTTGCTATTTATCTGGGGCTAACAGCATACCGAACTAAATTACACATTTTGGTTATGATACCATGGGAACAATTCACATGTAATTACGGTAATTTTTTATTTGCTTATTTGTCCATAACAGGTCATCCCGCAAGTAGCAATATATTGACGTATTTCGTATGATGCAGTAGGCTACAGAAACATTAAAACAATTCATTGAAATATGAATTATATATTGCTGGTACTCTTATATGATCCGTTGATGTTACTTGAATCTCTTTTTGAGGCATTTCTTTAGGATCATAGCTTAATATATTAAATTACTTTAGACAGGTGGTCCAGTGACGGTTAGAATTTGCATAGTCTAAATCCATTGTAAAGAGAGACCACTTCCAAACCTTTTAAGAAACATTCTTCTAATCCCTGTTAAATGTGAACTATAGTTTTAAATTATAGTACTCAGATTTTAGTTTGTCAGCAAACTTGTTAATTGCATTCCTGTAACATTTGTATATCAGTGTCAAAAACTGATATAAAGAAATAATATAGCCACAAGATTAAGATAATCTGAATTGTTGATTACATATTTCAGATGATCTTAATGATCATATAGGGAAAAGGTAAATCATGTGTTAAGTGGAAAATCTAACATATGGGTAATCTCTTTGGTTTTACCTTTTACTGGTCCTACAAAAATTCAGTATTATTAGCAATAGCTTGAAATAAAACAAAATTCACTATTATTTAAGGTATTTCTAGCTTCTCTTTTTGATTGATTTAATGTTAGAAGGAGAAAAAGACCAGATGGTTTAAGTATTAAAAAGAATATTGTGCCAATATGTAAAGACATACAATATCTTGGGGAGAAAAAGATGTTTGTATTTGAATATTTTCTGAAAGTGCATTTCTTCAGTACATAACGCCAGCCACAGCATCTTTATTCGTATGTAATGGTAAGCCAGGGTTGTTACCATAGTTTGTTGAAGAAGTGATAGAAGCCTGATTTACAAATGACACTAAGGGACAATAGGTAGGTTTGTACTTGCATTAGGCAAAACCAGCCAAAATTCATTATGACTTAGTAGTATGTGTGAACAAGGCTGTTGTGAAAAGTATTCTGTAGAGGATGTCTGATTTGCTGGCTGTATTTTTCATTGTAGATGGATGTTTGATAGCAAATACAAATACTAATATGAGCAACTGGGTGGAAATGAGTAGGAAGAGGATGTTTACTAGATTGCTTATTACTTTCAACTGGGTGGGACTTAATTGGCAGCCTTCTCCCAAAACTTGTAATACAGCCAAGTTCAGCTTCCCACTATAGTAGGAACCTGTTTGCTTGTGCCTGCATGTCTATATTGACAACCCTAATCTTGTTCCTTTCCTTGGTTGTCTGATTTCTAAGCAGCAGCCTGCTTTAAGAAAAGTATTAACTTATAAGGAGGTATAATAAATCTAAAAACATCCGATCCAAGCTTTTATCTTCTGTTTCTGGACTACCCTGTTAACCAAAATTTCACTTACTGGAAGATGAGCATTCTCTTATTAATACTTTGTTATAAAACACGTTTATTTGAAAGCTACTAACTGAACTGTTCAATGGTCCCATTTACTAGGATCCACCAAAAACCAGAAAATAATGCCTTATTGGACCTCTCTGTCTGAAAATAAACTATTTGCAATCCCTATTAAAACCATCTGTTCCTGCCTCTTGAAATGGTAGGTGGCCTGTCTTCATGCTGGAGCAAGCAGGAAGTGTGGAGTAGCCCTGTATCTGCAGTTAGCATGAGGGGATGTTTATTGGGAATATCAGTTCTGCCGGCTACCAAGGGAACAACATTCACAACAGCTGACTAAACTACAGGTAGTCCCCAGTTTAAGAATGAGTTCTGTTCCCAAGGTCTGTCCTTAAGTTGAGTTTGTATGTAAGCTGCTATAGTATTATTGTATAATACTGTATACTGTATTGTATAATACTGTATATTGTATTGTATAATACTGTATAAGTAGTATTGTGTAATTAACTCAAACCACTGTGTGTTTAACTTGAATCGTTGTGTATTTAACTTGAATTTTGCTACACTAGTCTCCGTTCTTAACTGGGTCGCCTTAAACCAGGCATTCTTAACCCAGGGACTCTCTTGATTATATTACAATTATTTGTATATCACCAATTCAAACAGCTCTAGACAGCTTATAGTAGCACATTAATAACATCCATAAAATCCAAAATATTAAAAACATTAAATCTTTAAATGTCATACAAACTCTTTTTGTAAGAGCAAAGCCAAAATCCCAGTTCCTAAGCATTACTGAATATGCATTCCTTTGCACTTTTAATTAGGTTTAAATTCCATTGAATTCAGGGGCCTTACTTTCAAGTTAGTGTGCATTTATATAGCATGAGGAGGGTGATTGCAATTTCAGGATCACGTATGAAGGGTTTGCTTTTATTTGAATGGAATTGCTGGTCTGTTTGTGTTTATTGCTTGGTTATTATAAGCTGCCCAGAGTTGCAGTGGGTGAGTTGGGCAGCCATATACATATCATAAATAAAATCCCAATCTCTGTTGGAACCAAGCTGTTTTGAACACAATGGGACCGCTATTCCACCTGCCCGCAGGAGATAACTACAGAATGTATTCCATAGCCATTCTAAAGCGGCTACTAACTAGCGGCAACAGACCAATGTCAATGATACAAATACGGAAACCAAATCCTATACAAACACGGATGGGAACTCTTGTTTTGGCAGTACTGTTGTAGCACTTGTATCACATCACCAGGAAACATACACTTGCTCCTCCAGTGTGGTACACGCCATCCTCTATCAACAGAAACAGGCCAATCTCTACATAATAACAGAAATTGACATAATACGACATCAGAAATAGCCAAAAGCCAGCAGGGAAACATTTCAACCCACCAGAATATTCTGTGACTGATTTTATGATGGCCTTCTTGACAAAAGGAAGTGCAAAGGCCTATTTCGTTGTGAAACACTGAGTTGTGTTTTGTCAGGAGATTTAAAGCCTTTTTCTCAGATTTAAGGAGAGGACAAAACTGCTTACACTACTGGGGTTAATCAGCTATCCTATGACTTTTCATGCCTAACCCTTGTTTTGTTAATTATCATTGCCTGTAGATAATTCTGTCTCACTACTGTACTCCTCCCTTAACGAACACAATGGATAATATATGGCATATAGGATGTAGTATACTATATACATCGTTTTCAGGACTATTCTGTGTATCTGGTGGCTGAGATCCATGAACGCTTACTGTGTAATAAAAGTCTATGAGGCATTTCGACTCTAGCTTTTGATGGCTATTCCTCTGGAAATTGTTCTACATGGAGTCTTTCCCTACCCATGGCTGAGTTAAAGGGTAGCTATTCACCTATACTTCAGTCAACAGAAAGCTATACAGTACTGGCTTGAAACATGTGAAACTTGAATAGAAAATACTGTAAAGGATACATTTACAAAAAATGTCTGATACTCTGAAGACTAACACATTCATCATGGCAAGGCTACCATCTGAACCCTGACTTTCAGAACTACAAGGCAGACACATGCTCGGAGCGTGTGTGTACGTGTGGCAGGGATAGCTAATTTAAACGCTGAGATCAAAGGAAAACGTACAGAAAGTGTAGATGGTGATAACTTGTATTAGGACTACCAAATCTGGAGTGCCTGCAAAAACCCCCGACGACACTGGAGGGCAGCAAAGAGTTGGTCTCTGTCCTTTGCTGCTCTTTTAGGGTCACCGGAATGTGATATCCCAGGTCTGGTAGACCTACTCCAAGCTGAGTGGGTTGTCTGTTTTTTTGTAGATAAATTGCCCTCTCACGTGTCCCCTTCCCGGACGCGTGTGTGGGTTTTGGTGCAATATTCGGGCTCAGAGTCTCCACAGACAAACGCCGCCGTGTGTGGGGCTCGCCGCCTCCGCAGAAGTCCACCGTGGGATGCCAGGAGCCGAGCGTGGAACTCTCAATTTCGCCACCTCATCCGCGGCGTCGCTCTACCACGCAGCCGTGCGGCGGTGGCCTGAGGAGGCCGGCCAGGCGCTCGGCTCGTGCCGCAGTGCCGTGTAACGCCCCTGGAATCTGACAGGGGGCGCTAGTTACCGGTTGCTGAGGCAGCTTGTGAATAAGTCAGCCCGCCCGCCCGCGGCCCTCGCGGTTGGGAACGGAGGGACGAGCAGGAGGCTGGTAGGCTCTGCGTCGGCCTTTCTGGTGCTCGCTTAGTGCAAGGCTCATTCGGAAGAGGAGGGCTTGGCCCCGGGGGGACCTCTTCGCCATGCAGGCCCCGCGGCGCCTGCTGTTGTTGCCGCCGCTTTCCGAGGTGAGTGAGGCGCCGGACTGTGTTTACCCACCGTTGGGCCGCTAAGGCCGAGCTACCCTCTTCCCGGGCCCGGGGAGGCTGTTGTGAGGCGCCTTTCTTTGAGGAGGCAGCAGTTAGGAGATGCGTATCTGCCGGGCTTCCTCGGGAAGTCAGGAGGATGGTGGAAGAGGAGGCAAAAGGAATCCCCCTCCCTGAGGTAGCCGACAAAGGTTGGGAGTCTTTGCGTGCTGGAATCAACAGAAAGGCGGGGTTTAAATGGAATTTAAAAAATGAAATAAATGTTTGCCTGTGACTAGGAACTCCCTTCCGTAGTGACTTGCGCGTCTCTCGTTCGTCTGAGGGAGGTCGAGCCTTGGGACCCTGAAGGGAAACGGGGAAGCTCGTCCCGACTTACCCTTTGCGAGGGTTGATGGGGCAGCTGGCTCCGTCCTTTGCAAGGCGCCTACTTAATCGCCTTAAAGAATTTGGGGGTCCTCATCGTCCTTCTTTGGCTTTCCCACATGTAAACATGCCAGCCAGAAGACGTGGCAGACAACCCCCAAACAACACTGCCGTCCTACTTACCTACTTATTTTGCCCCTCTAATACAGCCAGGTGCCTCGTTGTAGGACTTAAGGATCGTTTTCATATTCTTTGTTTGTGTCTGCACTTTTGCGTTCTTGTATTCCATTTTTGCTGCTGGCTAACAAGCAGTTACATTATGTGTTTATGATCCAGCTTTTGTAATTGTAAATCTGTCAAGTATCGTGTTTGCTGATAAAATGGCTTATTTTCTAATTGCCCAGCATTGATTTGGCTACAGTAGTTGCAAATAATCTGTTCCATACTAACATAATTTGAAATGTATCATTGCTGAAGGAGAACACTTACCAGGAGGCAAGG